TGTGTGTGTGTGTGTGTGTGTGTGTGTGTGTGTGTGTGTGTGTGTGTGTGTGTGTGATATCACACACTGCTGTAGTTGAGACTTCAACTGGTAAAAGGGTTTACAAATCTGCAATCTAATCGACCATACTTTAAATAAACAACTAGAAGTAAGACTGAAGGGCTGAAAGAAAACAGCACGGACTGCCCTGTATCAGCAGAAACACAAAGTCAATCTTGTACCTATTTTTACTTTAGGCCAATGTGATCCAATAAGCTAAGCCTCAATGACAAACAACATTCAATTAAATAAAACCAGAATTTCTGAACTCAATGCCAAGATTTAAATAAACCAACTATTTACAACTATTAAAGGGACCGTTCACCCAAAAATGAAGATATTAGAAGAATGTGGTTAAACAAATAGTTTCTGGTCCCCATTGAGTTCCATAATATTTGTTTTTCCATACTATAAAAATAAAAAATTGTTACTTTTTAATGACAATTTTATTGATTAATTAGCCTAATAACAACTTTTTGAAATATCATATAAACAAACAAGATACTGATAAACCCAGTTTAATCTGCTTAAAACTTTACATACTCCACCAATGAATAAGACAAACCTGGTCAGTATTTATAATTATAACGTTTCACAAAAGAATCCAGCATTCACGAATTACTGACAGAACTACATCACTATGTCGTTTGGGTGGGCACACTAATTAGTGTCAAAGATTTGAATTTCTTGTTGCACCTGTGCATCGATGACAAATATCAAGGCCCCAGTTCCTCTGAAAATCATCTCGTAGTCAAAGGTTGGATCAAAAAAGTCCACTTGTCCAGGGAAGTCCCAGATCTGGAAGTTGACAAAGGAGCTGCTGGAGATGTCATCTTTATAGATCTTGTTGGTGCTCTCCAGAAACAGGGTCTCATTGGGGGACATCTTATGAAACACCACCTAATAAGGCAAAGACATTTGACACATTAAAAAGCATTCTCAAAGTGCCCAGTTTCACCTCCGGTGGGAGAGTAATAAAGTCAGACAGTTGTGAAATCAAACTAAAAGCCAAGTCACATGCTTCATGTACTTTGAGGAGCTTACTGGTGGCAAGACTCAAGTCTCAGAGGCTTCAAATTTTACATTCTTAAATTGTATAGGCATGCCAATCATAGGCATTTTAAAGATGCACTCAGTACGTTTTTTTATTACATTTAGCTGACAATAATCATCCCAATAGTACCAATGGTTTTGGATTTAATATTGACACCATGGATGTGAAATTATGGATGAAAAGTCAAAACAAAAAAAAATACTATACAATTATATAAGTTTTGAAAGGGTTTTCTGTTGTTTCAGTAGTGATAAATGTTAAATCACAAATTAAGGTGCTTACTTCATCTGTTGCCAAATAGACACTAATGTCACTTTGCCAGAAAAATAACAACAACAACAACATGTTGCTTACACACTTTTTAGTTTTTTTTTTACTGTGATCAAGTGGTACGTCAAGGAAGTTTCACGGTACAGCAGTTATGACTGTCATGTGTTCGTGTTCAGTGCTTGATGATGCAGCATTTATCTTCAACTGATGGCGTGGAAACTGCGGGGAGTCATGACTACAGACACCGACAGGAACTGCTTGTTTGTATGGTGTTTCTTGCTATACTGTTTGGTACTTTTATATTTATGTTTTCATTAAAACGCTATATCAGACAAACTTAATATTACTATTGTTATTATCAGTAGTAGAATCTCAATCAATTACATGACACAGTAGGTCATGTGACATCCCCATGGCAGCGCCCAAGAGGGGGCGACCCGCTCCATGTACAATAAAACAGCATTTTCTAGTAGACTGTGTAGTTTTCATCCCATGTGATTGCTCAGGATTTTAATAATCTGTCAAAATCGCTGTTCGCTACTTTTTGTACGTTTTTTTTAATTAGCAAATATTACTAAGTGCATCTATAATGGCTATATTTCCTAAACCAACACAAGTAATACATGCGAAATGCACTTAACACGCAATTTATACGAAATGAATATCCTGTTTATAAAGATGCGCAAAGACAGTAAAAGAAAACTGATCGTCCTCAAGAATTATAACTACTTCCAAATGTCAGAAAAGTGTCTTCTAGTCACCTATTTCTGTACGTATGATCTACATAATCTGTATTGAGATGGTGTGGTGAAGGATGAATATATGAATAAGCATTTCAGGTTTTGTAATGAAGAAATCACGTGCCACAGCAATGCCGGGTGAGTTATCACAATATTAACATGGCACGCACATAATGCTACATGTATCCTTCTTAGTCAACTGAATGAGTGTGATGTATTTTGGTCTGTATGGCATCCAACTCCATAAATCCACCGCTGCTTAAGAAATAGGTTGGTTGGAAGGGCTCTGAGTGGTGCTCTTGCCCGTGCCCAGTGACAGCTAGGCAGCAGCCCGGAGCGGCTCTGACCCAGTTCTAACTCGCTCGACTAAGAAGTCAGCAGGGGAACGACCATATGGAAACGACAACCAACCTAGACGCTCTATATATCATCTCTTCCTCCTACCTTCTGGATAGAGGACTTTCCGCTCCTCCTCAATCCCATCAGCAGGATTCTCGGTTTGCTGTCGGAGGGAGTGGGACTGTCCTCAATGTCTCCTTCTTCTTCTCCATATCCGAAATCTTTGGGAAACGAGTCCGCCACCCCGTAGCTGTCCGCCAGCGGTGCCTCGTACTGGATCGACATGTTAACCCCCGCCCCAACCCCTCTAAAATATAACCTGGCCGATTTTTAGTAACCCAACCAGCACGATATTAATGCTTGGCGAACAAACGTAAAACCTCGTTATCGTATAAATACATGAGAGCAAACTTCTTAAGGATTCTCCTTTAAATCTTCAGTCTCTTGTGTTTCCCCTTCTGGATGAAACGCCCACTTAAAATCGACACTCGAGTATAATTGGTTGGCCGGCCGGTAACTCGAATGCTGATTGGATAAATAAAGTGTCACTCTACTAAGCTATTAAAATGTGGGTGGGATCGTTGCAAGTCATGTGCCTGATGGTCACCTGACAAACAGATTTGTGTGAATGGGTGTTTTTTTCCGACCGGTCACCTGAAACGGTATTTCTTAGCTTAAAATGCTGATAAAGATTTGTTGGTAAATGTTGTTTATGAATGTTCGTTTATAAATGTTCGTTAAATCCCATTTTCCAAGCTAAGTGGCACATAGCCTACATTTTGCTTTTTGGATATGAAACAACCTGTAGGTTATACCCTTATAACCATATTAAATAACAAATAAATTAATAAATAAGTAAGTAGTGGGAAAACTACAATGTTAAAATTGTTGGCTTGATCAATGTTAAACACCAAATAGAAAGTTGCAAACAATAATATATTTATTTATTTGTTTGTTTAACTATATTTATTATTTAATACATTGGTTAATATACCATTTTAACATTATGTATGCCAATATGTTAGTTGTACATGTTATGACATAACACAGACATCTTTCAGATGGGTAAACTGGAATTAACATCTCTGGTCATTTGTTATGCTCTGGTCATATCTATTTACCATGTAAATATGTTCATATGACATCAAGACAGCAATTTAATTTGGACAACTATTTTTAGATTTCAAAAGCTTTAAACAGTCTTGTTTAATGTAATAATGAAAGTTATGCCACACATAATTCATATGTGTACCAGTTAAACGACAGGCTGATTAAAGGTTAGGTCTTCAGACAATAACAACATTGACTGACCAATGTGTCACATGGCAGACTAAAGCCAATGTTGTTATTGTTTTACTAATGTATATGCACAGATGTATTGAAGACTCAGTCAGGTTACAAAACCTGTTTTGTAGCAGCACAGATCAATTAAATTGATAAAATATACATTTAAATGGTACATTTGATCAACGTAGTGTTGGGAAGACAATATTTTTTGTGGTTAGGACACCACCAAATAAAGTATAAAGGATTGGATCTTAATTAAGACTTCTTGAAATGATAATAGCAAAAGCTTTCCATTCAAAAGTTGAATAGGATTGTAGAGCTGTCTGAAGAAACAGGTTCATCTGAACAACTGTTTGGAAGACCTATGGATTGTGTTGTTTGTTTTGTTATTCAACCATGCGTTCTTTTTCTACAACAGCAAGGAAGTACAACCGATCTAGTTCCTAACACTAAAACTAGAGCAGCATTTAATTGCTAGTAATATCTCCAGTCGTAGTACAAAGTATATTTTGTGTGTGATGACTCAAAATACATATCTATATGTTTATTCCAGTAGATGGTGCTGTTAGCACTTAAAATAGTCTGGTTTTGAGCTGTATAATTAATTCACTGGACTATGTTGTTAAAATAATACTTTCAAATGGCTGTTTGTCCCCTTTTAATGTGAGGTAACACTTCCCATTTATGATTCTTCTCTTTACAGTTAAGTGTAAGACAAGAACAAGAATAGTTTCTTAAAGAAACTTTCTTTAGTACCATAGTGTGACATGAAGCAATGACAATAACATTTTTAAGCTGACAATAATAGCAACAGACAACATACTTTTGAATTTAAAGTTAATTTCAAGCCTGTGCAAAGAAACTGTTGGATATTTTGGTACTTAACTTTGGTTTAGCTTAATTTTGCTGATAAAAGCATGTGTGCATGGTTAAATAATGCACAGTATATGTACATTTATGATGCATATTTTTATATCATCTAAATTCTCATCATTATACTAATATTATTATGAGTCAGCTTGCAATGAGTACTTTTTTGCTAGCAAAATGTATTTATTTTGCTTGTTAAATCTCTCTTAGACTAATAATTTTGAAACACTGGTGTCCATACACTTAGAAAAAAATGTGATGTGACATGTGGCCAAGTATGGTGACCCATACTAGGAATTAGTGCTCTGCATTTAACCCATCCTTAGTGCACACACACAGCAGTGAACACACACACACACCGTGAACACACACCTGGAGCAGTGGACAGCCGTTTATGCTGCGGGGCCCGGGAGCAGTTAGGGGTTCGGTGCCTTGCTCAAGGGCACCTCAGTCGTGGTATTGAAGGTGGGAGAGTGCTGAATATTCACTCCCCCCACCTACAATCCATGCCGGTACGAGACTCGAACCCGCAACCTTTGGGTTACGAGTCCGACTCTCTAACCATTAGGCCACGACTTCCCCAACTTAAAGACTTAAAAAACAGACTTAAAGAAAGATTCGATATCTGTCTTAATTGCACTGTAAATCAGACCAGTTTATTCATCTGTTAATATGACATATGCACATAAAACAATTTTTTTCACAACAGTAATTTTGAAGATTTTTACAGCTGCTCTATTAAAGCACAATGTATTTTAATTTTTTTTTTTTACCATTACATCATTTTGACTTCTGATGCCGGAAGCACTCAAAAAGAGAACAAGGTGTCCAGGTGAGAACAAGGCATACATAATCAAACATACAATCTCTCTAGTGTAGTCATACTACTATTGTTAATTCAATATATTGTCAGTGTGTACTGCTAAATTGATATGTATGTAAAAAGAGAGCATAAACAATCCATTAAGGATTAAAGAGTTGAATATAAAACTTTAGTCTGAGATTGGAGTCATTTTACAGTCACTCTGGTCATTTTCCATCACTATATAACTGTACAAATGACATGGCTAACATCAATAGTGAATATACTGTATATAAGGAAGTTTTCTCATATCTGTAAGTCTGTAGGAGCTGCTCGTCTGCTACTGGAACTGCTGGCCAATGAGGCGCGATGGCTTGGTGATGCTCGTGGACTATGCTGTGACTCGGAGCTAGATTCTTCTATTGAATCAGGAGAGGTGGGCCTGCTCATTTTGGAATCAGACCTGGATGAAGTACGTGCCCGCACAGCGGCGTAAGGACAGCGGGCCTTAGCTCCTTCCAGGGAATCCGTGTCTGATCCATTACCTTCTACAACCGTTGAGCAGTTCCAGGGTGCACTGACCTTCCATGGCTTCTTTCCCATGCCGGATGATGTGTGAAAAGATTCCCTGGTGTGGCTCGATGAGTCTGAAGTCTTAGAATCCTGGCCTTTCTTGAGTAGAGGTGGAGGGTGGACAGAATCTTCCCCTTCGTCTTGTTTCGGCGGTGTGACGGAGTTGCAAGGCGGTGAAAACGTATCACTGCTGGTGTTGTTGGAATTGCTGTTGTGCTTCGTGTGACTATTCTGCAAGTACTTTGGTGCATCAGAACCATCTTTAGCTGGCAAATCACCCTGAACAGGCAAGAAAGCAGAGGATGGGTTGATCAAAGGAGCGTAGGCGGTTCCATCAGGTGGTCTCTCAAGAAGAAGGTTGTATCCACAAGGTGCAGATGTAATGGTGGTCTTGTGGCCAGTGGAGGTGCCGATGCATGTCTGATGCACCACCGAATCTTTCTTCAGCTTGTTGGGATAGTAGCTGTCATCGAGATCGTCCCTCAGCTGTGGGTAGTAGTTCAAGATGACCTTTTTAAGCTTCTTGTAGCCCAGGTGCATGATCTCCAGGATGTTGAGAAACAATGAGATGGCAGCTATGCATTGCATGAACACCATGAAGACGCTTTTTTCAGTGGGTCGAGATACAAAGCAATCCACTGCATTCGGGCAGGGCTCCCGCTCACATTTGTAGAGCGGATTTAGTTGAAACCCATACAGAACATATTGTCCGGTCATGAAACCCCCCTCTACGGCCGAGCGGGTGACTATGTGAGCCACGTAGGTGCGCAGAAGAGACCCCCTCAACGGAGCTTTGTTCAGCTTCCCCTGGTCAATCTGCCGAAGCTCACGCTCTATTTTGCGTCGTATCTCCGCCATCTCTACATCCACGGTCTCGAGTTCACGTCTCAGTGCCAATTTTTTGCGCTGCCGTTCTTTTTCAAGGGCACGGAGGCGGTAGAGAGCATGGCCCCTGTACACTAGCGAGGGTGAAGAAAAAAAAATGACCTGCAGCACCCAGTAGCGGATGAGGGAAATGGGGAATGCCTTGTCATAGCACACATTGCGGCAACCAGGCTGCTCGGTGTTGCAGATAAAGTCAGCCTGTTCATCATTCCACACATCCTCCGCTGCCACCCCAAGCACCAGCATCCGGAAGATGAAGAGGATGGTCAGCCAAATCTTCCCCACGATTGTGGAGTGGATATGCACCTCTTCCAAAATCCCACCAAGAAAGTTCCAGTCTCCCATCTTTACTCTGGCATTTTTGTGTCTGTTAAGAGAGGGATTAAGGAGCAAGACTCATGAAAATGGACTGGGGCTCTGCCAACACGTTCAACACTTTTGGTCAGAATGTGTCCTAAAGTAGCATTACTTGGAGACTTGACTACACTAGCTATATCCAAACACCAAGAAATTGTCTTACTCATTTCACAGACTAAAGCAAAATAAAACTATTTTAACTCAAATGGAAAGACAGACCAAAACTTTCAATAAACCTCTGGCGGAATCTGCTAACAACATAGCCTACTTCAATATGGAAAAATAGCATCTGTGAAATGCTGTATTATTTGTAAGAACTGAAACTTTGAACTAAATTTGGTCCCCATTCTTTTTATACTTAGAGACTTGATTTGCCATTGCAATGCTACATACCATCAAACCCTAAAATAGAAACATTTATGTTTGTATTTCATAATACCTGTAGCTAACAGCGTGTCACCATATGCAGTCTAATTTAATGTCCCTTCTATATATTTTGTGTTTGTTAGTTGTCTTTCAATTGTATCTGAAAACCTCCAAAAATAAAATAATTTAAAAATGTCAAAATATTTTAATATTAACATGCATTGAAAAAAAAAGTACCAGACTATTAAATGATTTTACAGCATACGTCTTTCATCATTACTGTCACTTTTATTTTAAACTGACATTTTCCCAGAGCAAATATGAACATCTTGCAACCTAATATATTTATATAAATGCATAAACCATTGGAGACTTATTTCAAAACTAGGAAGAAATAACATAAGAAATAGACACAAAAATTGAATGCGAGACTGAAACTACTGATGCAAGAACACAAAGTCTCCATCACACGCATAAAAGTAGTAAGGTGTATGGTAAAATTCATTCATAAACACTTAAATCACCCCAACAAAATTAAGAGTAATGGTATAGATCAAAATTAGTTTTTCAATGAAAGATTTTTTAAATGTTTACAAATGGTCCCAGGTGTATGGTATAATTTGGGTACAATTATTCTTTTTTTTTTATTATATATTTACAGTTTTGAAAAGAGTGAAAATGCAGAAAGCTTATAATAATAATAATATATTTTTACTTTTATCTTTAAAGTGTTTTTAATTTAGACCTGAATTTAACAATCTAAAAAAAAAATTGTTTTTAATTAATTATATAATTACAAACTTTTTAATTGATATCAGGTATAATTACAGCAGTCATAATACTATTCAAATTATTAAATAGTAAAAAAAAAAAAGAAAGAAAGAAAACATGCAGTGCTACAAAATACAATCAATCAGTGCATTGCTGTCGACGTTCTAAGCATCTTGTTGTTAAAAGTAAACATAGTTAAACTGTAAAACACCAACATACCTTAAACAAACAAGGAGGAAGTTAAGTAAATTTTAGACCTGAATTTAACAATCTAAAAAAATATATATTTTTTTATTAATTATATAATTACAAACTTTTTAATTGATATCAGGTATAATTACAGCAGTCATAATACTATTCAAATTATTAAATAGTAAAAAAAAAAAAGAAAGAAAGAAAACATGCAGTGCTACAAAATACAATCAATCAGTGCATTGCTGTCGACGTTCTAAGCATCTTGTTGTTAAAAGTAAACATAGTTAAACTGTAAAACACCAACATACCTTAAACAAACAAGGAGGAAGTTAAGTAAATCTTCATGGCAACTCAAAAGCTACTCCAACGCCTACACTTTAAGTGCAAAAAGCTAGACTCATGCCATACTGGTCATCGTTAAAGGTCTCGACTAAACGCAAAACAAGCAGGTCTTATTGGTGCCAACTTATTGTCATGCAGGAGAAATCAATACGGTAACCGATGCCATTTACCTTACAGCAGTATGCGCAGACTGCCGGTGCGTGAAATCCCCGCAGGTCATACAAGCGCGACGAGGCCGCCAAAATATTTAAAAATCGTTGGTGACCTGCACATCTGACGCAGCATATCACCTGAACTTTTGTGACCCCTTCTTTTCTCTCTGTTGGCACCAAACGGAGGTTTCCGAATACGCACGGGTCTGTTGGCAAGCGCATTGCTTCTGTATGTCAGTATGTTCATGCTCTTATGCACCCGCTCTTAATCGCAGTATACGGTCTTGCATGTTTGATTGCTAATTAACACCCGCTACCCGCTACCCGTTACCCGTTTCCTGCTGAGTTGCAAAAATAGCTCAACTGTAAGCGCGTCTACTGGTGTAAACGCAAGCCTGAGCTAAACGCACGCGCGCGTCTACTGGTGGATTTCCACGTTTTGTACAGAGAGATGGAGAAGCAGCACATTAAACCAAAACAGTGACTTGTTTTATTGGTGAAATGTTGAATAAAACAGCAAAAGGCTGATAATTATTGTTTATTCCATGAAATTGTTCACAGCTAAGCGCAACGCTTTCTAATGGCATTTGGCCACGTGTTGGCACTACTTTTTGTAGTCAATACTTCGGGAAGCAATCAATCGGTCATGTCCGATTTCATACTCTGCTGGGTCCAGCCCAGTGTAATTAAGTTGTCTCTGCTAGCTGTGGTGATATTTTATTCCATTTAAAATAAATCAATGGTGCAGTCCCATTGCGCTCACTAAGTATACGCTGTTGGTTTGATTCATCCTGCCACATCTATTTAGGGGCATATCAGGCAAGCCCTATTTAACTAGTGAGTGAGCCTCTTCATTACACAATCTGATTCATACTAGGCATGATTTTAATGAATAACTAAATTAAAGCTTTGGCATTTTAAAAAGAGAAGCATATTAGGTTGGCTTGAATGCATTTTATGCTCCCTGATGTGCTCTCAGATTAAAATTTAACTATTTTATGACCTTCCATTATCATATTAATAATAATAATAATTTAAAAAAAAAGAACATTAAAACACCATTCTAGTCTGCTCCTAAACTTAAATTAAGATTTAAGCGTACACCACATATATCATTATATGTCAACACATCCATTGTAGATGGGGTCAGCAAGAACAAAATGACCATATTGCATAAAAGCTAAATATATACGATACCTTTCAGAAGTTTGAGGTCTGTACGATTTTGTAATGATTTTGAAAGAAGTCTCTTATGCTCGCCAAGGCTACATTTGATTAGAAATACTGTAAAAACAGTAATATTGTGAAATAGTATTACAATTTAAAAAGAAACTTATGTAATATATTTGATGTAATTTAATTATTTAAAATGATTAAAATATTCAATTAATGTTTTATAGTGATTAATATATATATATAGCAATTAAATGTTTAATTCAATTATTATATTTTACATAATTACATGTATTGCTGTGATGGCAAAACTGATTTCACAGCAGCTATTACTCCAGTCTTCAGTGTGCCATGATCCTTCTGAAATCATTATAATATACTGATTTGGTGCTCAAGAAACATTTCTTATTATCAATGATGAAAACAGCTGTGCTGCTACAGTATATATTTTTGTGGAAGACTTCTTTCAGGATTCTTTGATAAATAGAAAGTTTAAAATGTATTTGTTTGTAAAACTGTACAAGTCTTTACCATCGCTTTTGATTAATTGAATGCATCCTTGCTCAATCCAAGTATTACATTTAAAAAAAAAAAAACAATCTTGATGAACCCAAACGTATTATGCATTTCTGCATCTAGCAATAGATTGGAACGAAGCATCTGGTCGTGGGAGGCAGAGGCAGCAGGGGAATGTGGTGGTGGTGGCCGATCACATTTCAGTGTTGCTCGAGTTTATTATGCAGCAAGGGTGAGGACTAGCAGTAGTATATAACAGGATCACTTCATGACATAATGCTTGAACGATCAGTGAACTATTTTATGCCATGTGGCTGGAGTTTGTTAGTGGGGTTTGTAAGTCATTTTAACAAGCTTCCCCTGCAGCAAACACGCCATATAAATATGAAGGACCTCAGTGAACACTAAACTGCCATCATAATAGCTCACATACATTTGTAATGAAAACAGTTCAAAGTTATTTTTGTGAACTGAAAATACCTGCAATGTTGTGTTTAGACTGGCAAGAACACTGTATCCATATTGGGCAGCAATCGATGCTCTGTTCTGGAGAACTACCATCAGCTAATTAGAACAGAGGGAACATTTGTTGTGGGATGCTTTCCGTTGTAAACTCACTTCACCTTGGTTCAGCATAGCACAGCATTTATTTCACATCCAAATTCATTAACCAGTTCATAAAACAACTATATGTAAAACACATAAATACTACTAAATGAAATAGACCCATATGGTTTTAAAGAGTTGTACAGTATCTTTAAAAATGACACGATTCTCCAAATTGCCACCACATTTCCAGCCTTAATCCCATTTCTGAATCTTAATGATTTGATCATCAATTATAAATATTCAAAGTAACTGTAGATGCATATCATTAGCATTGAAATGACATTTCCTTTTTATTACAGGTCAATAACTTGCAATGCAATACCACATTGAAACTACATTGGTGTGACCTCAGGTGGAGGTCTGTCCACATGCTGATCAGTGCTGCCCTCTACTTGTATTATTATGACATCTCAAATATTCTGAATCTAACAAATTTGAAAAACATTTAAAATCTAAGTATATTGAGTTTTATCAAATAATAATAATAATAAAAACTACATGCCAAGTATTTTCTTTTTAACCACAATGCTCAGTTTTGGCTTCCTACAAATCAATTAAGTTCAATTAAATTGAGCTGTTTAGTCTTGACAGCAATTTGTAGACAAGCCTAAAAAAAGGCTCACTAATTTTGTGAATATAAAATAAATGGTCCCACCAAATATATATATATATATATAATAAAATATTAAACTTTTCTTTGTTCCCGAGAAACTATAATGAGTAAGTGTTTATGCAAACCCAAATGAATATTTGGATATAAATGAAAGAATTTTACAAATCTGTCCAAAAATTACATTTATTTCCTTTAGATATGTATACAGTGGGTACGGAAAGTATTCAGAGCAAATGGCTGCAATATAACAAAGAGTGAAAAATTGAAGGGGGTCTGAATACTTTCCGTACCCACTGTATATAGTGTATTAGCATGCGACCTTAAAAGTCTTTAAAGACCAACAGGATGTTCTGACCTATTGACCTGAGACCTGCTCCTTTTAAAAAGCTATGATTGTCCGTTGTGAACTGATGCATGACTTTAACACACATTCTCCTCATGCAGGTGCTGGGGACAAGAAGATGTTGAAAATGACGGCAAAAAAGAAGGCGGCGATGTATCCCACAATGCACATCCAGAAGCGTGGATCCTTCAGGAGCTCTTTATTGTAGTTGGTGAAAAACACATAACCAATGGTCATGCCTGCTACCCCACTGGCAATATGAGCCACAAAAGAGACCTAACAAAAAAGCGAAATATGAAGGACCATTCTAGTATATTAACAAGACTATTATCTTAGTCTAAGGTATTCCATGGTATGGTAACTAGGTATTCAGGTATAAATACCTGTTCAATATGGTTTACGATTGTACTATGGTCTCAAAATTGTCTCACCTTCATGCCAGCCTCGTGGGTAATGAATCTTCTGTAAATAGCAAATCCAACATCTGTTCCAACTGAAAAAAAATAATACAATTTTATTTTCCAGTAAATAGGTCTGGACACAGTGCTTAGTTTTTCCAAATATTAATAGTAGATATCAAAAAGATGTCAGATGTCATGAATGGAAAGTGGAAATGGGCGCACCAATCAGAACAATTACTAGGATGCGAAACACTCCCAGAAGTGGCATCATCTCCCTGAAATTCTAGAAGAAAAAGAAAACTTTTTTCATTTGGAACTTGATTATATATTGGAACTTAATTATATCCCATTAAATATTAAAATCTACTCACCACCACAGCATTCATGAAGTAACCTCCCATGAGGGCATAAACACCACCTGAAGCACCCACAAGAGCACTGAAAGGATCAAAGATGGAGCTGGCGAGAGAGCCTGAAAGAGGATTCATACATAAACACACATTCCATGAGAATAAGAACAGGGGCCAGAGCTAAAGACTGAAATGAATGAAGCCAAATAGAGATTATAATATATATATATATATATATATATATACATTTACAGTAAAAACATTAACAATTTCTAAAAGATTTCTAATTTTCAAATAAATGCTATGAACTATGAATTATTGAAATACTGTTTGCAACATTGATAAGCACCAACTATTAGAATGATTTCTGAAGGACCATGTGACACTGAAAGCCAAAGGAATAAATTACAATTTTAAAAATACAAATTTTGTAATAATATTTTACAATATTACAGTTTCTACAGTATTTTTGAACAAATAAATGCAGCATTGGTGAACAAGAGATTTCTTGGAAAAAAAAAATGTTTAAATTCATACTGATGCCAACTCTTGAATGGTAGTATATATATTAGGGCTGTCCGTCGATTAAAATTTTTAATCTAATTAATTAGCCTACATGATGTTTCGATTAATTAATCTAATTAATCACAACATAAATTTGACTGTGAAAATACCCACAAAAGATTATTTAAAGCCATTTTTGTGCTAAATGATAAAGTATCAAGTAGACATTACAAATTGTATAGTTTTTTCAACATAAAATGTATTACACATAAACATTTAGGCTACAACGGCCTAACATGAACTATGGAACATAAAAGAAGATAATTTGAGAAACATCTCAGTATTTTTGTTCATACAATGAAAGTAACTGGTAACCAAAACAGCTTTGTTACCAACAGTCTTCAAAATACCTTCTTTTATGTTCCACAAAAGAAAGAAAGTCATTCAGGTTTGAGTAAATGATGACAGAATTAAACATTTTTGGTGAACTATCCCTTTAATGTTATTATTATTATTATTATTATTATTATTTGAAATTAAATAATACTCTAAATAAGAAAATAAATCTGCCAGCAGGTGGCGGTAAATGTCTTCATTCGATTCGTTCAAACGGCTGATTCATTTAGGAATTTAGTAAACGACTCTCTTTATGAATGGGCCTTTGAATCATTGATTCACACGATTCATTCAAAACGCGATTCATTCTGAAACTGAACACTGCTGTGTTGCTCGGAGATGCATATTCTCTGCAAAATTGAACAAAAACATAATATTCTGTTTAAAATATAACACAATATCAACGTCTTTTTTACTGAACTGTTGTATAAAATCCAACTCCTGATATTCAGGACAAAATCACTCGTGATATTGCTCTCGCTGATATAAATATGAGACAAAAACTCATACAATATATATATATATATATTTTTTTTTATGACAATGAAGTATAAATTTGTATCAACGGCAACACAAATGAGGCCAATCACAGTATGTATTTTATACTAAATACTATTTTGTAAAAAACAGTATGTGAAACAATATGCAGTGTCTATAGGTGTTTTAGAATAAACATTAATACCTTACTGTTATCACATAACTTACACTAACTGTTTGAAGTCCAATCAAATACTAATAATAAAGTCACAAAACACAAGTTAAATTATGACTGATATTCAATTGCTTTGTGTTATTTCATTAATGTCAAAATGGAAGGTCAAACAGAGTGCACTGCAGTGTGATATACCATATCCTATGCAGTGAACTCTGGTTGTATACTGTATCCCAATCAAATTTACCAAAATGCACAAACCCACCTGCGAGGACCCCAGCCATATAGACCATGCCAACTTCAAAGCCCTTATGCACCAGCTCCAGCGCAATGCCCAGAAAAAGCTGCATTATCAGGTTTCCCATTATATGCTCCACACTAAACCAAGACAGATAGTCAGACAGATATATTAAAAAGTTACCAACAGGGTACTAACTTGGATGTCAGATACAGTTTTGTTTATTGAGCACTTTCATGTACAACCATAATTTTCTCAAAATAAGTCATTTTAAAAATACAGTTGAATCAATTAAGCAAAATATGAATAAAGGAAGCCCCTTACCCGGCATGTACAAACATGTAGGAGAGAAACCGCCAAGCCTCCTCACGGTTTTCAGGCTTATGGGTAAGAGGACTATCCCAGATCCCTGTTCCCAGGGTTATCCACTGCTTTTGAGGCTTCCATACCGCATAGTAGATAAACACTCCCAACTGTCAAAGATTGAAAATTTGTGACTTCATTACTTCATTTGCCAAAAAAAACTGTCCGTGTCAATGTCTCAAAAGTCATTCATTTCTACTGTAGCAGGGAAATTTCAGGTAACAATGGGAAAGACGTTGGCTTAGCAGAATTTAACTCATATTTAGGTACATCATGTTAGTACAAAATAAATCAAATTAACGATGTTTAAATTATAAAAAAATATGATTTCTTAATCACTTAATGAAAAAAATGACCTTTTCTAATGGAAGGTCTCATAAGTTTCTTCATTTTCAAGACACTGATTGTCAGTGACTAGAGGTCTATTTTGAGGAATGTCCATGGAAACAAGGATGAATCTGGCTTTTTAACCTCTGTGGCTAAGACTTGCCAAACAGAAATGGAAAAGTGGAAAGCTACGCTCAAAAGAATCTTAGTTCTTTCAGAGTGAGGCAGGGACGGATCTAGAAAATAATTTTTAGGGTGGCATGGGGTCTATGAGGGGTGGCAACACCAAAGCAAGCCCCCCATGCATAGTTTTTGGGGATTTATGGTCTGACCTACACAGTTGTGTTCACAAATATTGTATTACCATTAAGTAATCATCTATACTGTTTAAAATGAAAAATAAATAACAACATTTCAATATCCATCATGGCACCAAGTCAATACACAACATAAAAAACTTCAACAGGTTATAAATGTTTCTGAGCTTGTATCACTAAAGAAGACATGCGGTTCTATTAAAATTACATAGGCTACTTAGATGGTATAAATCACGTTTTAGTGCAAGTCTAAGAGCAACAAAAACTTGAATTTCCTAACATTAGAATGAAATACAATATCAAAGCACTGAAACTGGATCAGTTTTGAAAATGTTTGATTTTCTGTTATTAACAGAGGTGGAAATGTCTGTTATCATCCAGAACAAACTCTATCAACCATATACTCTACCAACTGCATAGCAAGAGCCTAGCAACCACCCAAAATATCCTAGCAACCAACTAGCAACACTTTAGCAAACATCTAGAACATTTAACTGACCAAACCATTTATGTTTTTAAACAAGACTGTAAGACAAGCCATCATAAATGTGTCTTTCAAACTTTTCAATCTAGTTATTACAGTTTTTCTTACAGGTTTTTTTCAACTGCTTACATTTACAAAACTTTGCCTCTTTTTTTCCAAACTTTACACACAAATCCAAGAATTGCACACACAAAATGCAAAATGCCTCACATCTCTTGCAAAATGAAGCACTGCATTCAAAATATCACAAACACATCTCAAAAGCAAACACCTTTGCCATAATATTAATAATTCCTGTTAGATTTTTGTGTTGCATAGTGTGTTGTGTTTTGCAAAAAGTGTTTTATGCAATTGAAAACTGAGTCAAAGGCCGAGAATTAGTGTATGGTTTTGCAGATTTGGTGTGTGGTTCTGGTGTTTGAGTGTTTCTGCAAAAATGCAGTACACATAAAAAATGGCTGCAAACAACATTTGACAGTCACACGTTTGAAGGTGTACAACGTGCTACAGTTTACTGTACATATAGAATAGTGAAATTTCCATTATCTAATGTACTGGCACTGGACTATAATTATACTGTGTAAGTAGGCCTATAAAACCCCTGTAGATCATGATTGACTCAGCTCTCTCTTCTCTCCGTTGTTAGGATGCAGAGATTCTGATTGATGTGTCATCAGTTGTGCTACCTAATGTTTAACTTACTCGTTGTTCAACTTTTTGAGAAATGTGTCTTTGTTTTGAAAAATGAATTAATTGTTTGGGGGAAAAGTGCCAACTAAAATCAGTTATATGTTAACAATACCACTAGATTCTTACCTACCTCTTTGTTTCCGTGATCGGCATCTTCTTATTGATTTCGTTATTGTTACGGCAGGTAATGTCCATGATGAAAGTGGGGCGAGCGGTCGGAGAATCGAATAACCAAACAATTACGCGATGCATCTCAGACTTCTCAGGGGACTTCTGAGTTAGCTGCGAAGCAGTAATTATCTGATTCACGAACAAATGTATAAACAATTCGTTAGTAGTGAACTGGGAAGTTCCGCGCTTTGTGGTTTTGACTCCGGTTCATAAGAGTCATTTGTTAATGAAGCCGACTAGCCTACTACACTGGCACGCTCCGAGTGCACAGCAATCATCGTGCACAGCTTATTGAAAGACGTGTTTTATGCCATTATTGTGGCACATGAAACACTGCTTACATTTATATTTTTCTGTGATAATTGTGGGGTGGCACAGCTTTTTCTTGCCACCCCGGTAGATCCGCCCCTGGAGTGAGGCATCCCAACGAAAACATTCACAAATTATGGAAATGTACTGGTTGCTGCAAACAGCTCAATGAATAAACATTTAGGCTACATTATTACATATTGTATATTAGCCTATAACATTTACATATAGGACCTTTTTGAAGAAAAACAGCTTAAACCAGTCTAAAATTGTTTCCAGCCTTACAGGCCATCTTTTGGCTGGTTTTAAAGGGGTTTTCAGCTTGTTTTCAGCTAAGAGACCAAATGAACCAACAGAAGACATGACTGGAGACCATCTTAAAAGACCTAAGATCACACAAACGTTAACTGTAGTCTTAAAAAAACAGTAACTGTGGTGACAGTAGAAACAGTTTAAACTTATCAGATACCCAAAAAGATCAAATTCCACAGGTGCAAAGGTTGATGTTTTGCAGTACCTCCGCTAAACTGACGAGGATGATGAAGATTGGTGGCGGACAGCAGTTCGCGCGCTCCAAATACGTCTCCCGTAACTCCTCGGGAAGCATCCATCTAGAAAAATTATTCTGAAACTTCTCTACCCTCCGACCTCTCTTGGGATTTCCTCGATTATCACCTTCTTCGTCCATCCGCACGGGAAAAGTGTCCTGTTCTTCGGTGTCATTATCGCCCATTTCTTAAAAATGCTAATCAAAAAGGTCGTTCTGCATTCATGGACAAGAATCAACGGAGAAATGTCAGGGGTTTTTTGATTGACATAAAAGTTATTAATATTCTTGGCAATTAGCAAAAAATCAAACGTATAAGAAAACTAAAATATAGTCCAAATCATTTATATGTCAGCTTCACATGAATTAGGCTATACTCTCTCTTCCGGAGTTGTTAACTTTAGCTCTTCCTGCATAAACAAACTCATCCTGTATGAAATTATTTACGAGCTACAGGCTACGTGCTCTTCATTTCAGAAACAATTTTATGAAAAATAATCCTCATGGGAGAATGATTAATATATTGTTTGTTTTTATATTGTAGTTTTTTTTTATTGTAGTCTATCGAGCACGTGCGTTCTGTAAATGTTTAGAAGTTGTTATTAAACGGAGCCAAATGTAGTTTTTTTTTTATGCCCGAAACTATTTTGAATATGTAGATAATTTGAGAACAACACTCCAGTCAACTTACCACTTTCTTCTGGGGGGTATTCCAAAAAGTAGGTTATGTGACATACACGGGTATGTTTGAGGATAAGCGAGTGGATAACCTTCAGCTTTCGGTTCCAAAATCAGAGGTTACTTTCAGGGTATGTAAGTAACCATAGTAACTTGCTCTCTGAAGATAACCTGCTCCGGAGCAGGTTATGTTCCAGGGTTAGTTCACTTCAGCGCACGTGTGATCTACTGACGAGCCTTCAGTGGGCGTGACAGATAGCGCACAACATTATATAATATTACCAATTAGGTGGCGATATGCACTAAGCATGTAAACGACCACTGAACAAAAGAAGAGGAAAGAAACAGCATGGCGCGCTTTTTCTTAGCGTCCGTTTCCGTCCGACTCGCCGATTCGTCGATCTGTTGAGAATGTCTTGAGTCTTAACCAGGAACATACTCTGAGTTGAATGAACTTACTCCCGGACGCGTTTTTGCAACCACATACCTCGACTAAGCAAGGTTTGGGGTTAATCAACCGAAAGTTCAGGGTTTAGCTGACGGTAAGTTAACCGTGCGTTCTGGAATACACCCCTGATCCACCACCACACACGTGTAACAATACAGATTTCTCTTGAGAGCACGCACAGATCAGTGCTCATTAATGTTGTTCGTTTTGAAATAATAAAAACGAAATAAAGTCTATATTTACAATATATATATATATATCAGTAAAATAACCAAAAGATAGTTGTGAGACCACCACGGACAAAAAGACGCTCCCCCTGGACAATAGGCTAATTAGCCTATAGACTTCCACCAGCTTTTCCGGTTCCAGTCTTCCTTCCTCCAGTTTCTATCTGAAGGGTGTGGGATCGTTTTGTTTACTTTTGTTGAACGAAAAAAAGCAACCTATGACCCGACAAAGTTTGGTTGACTCTCTACCTGCGCTTCCTCAAAAAAATGAGTTTCGGTTCATCAAGACTTCAGTAAGCGCATCCTGTTTGTTGTCCTTATTTTACAAAAGCACAACGTTTTGTTGATATTGTGAGTGCACATAAATAGAAGTAGACCCTTTACCGTTCCGGATGTTATATTACTCTCTCTTACCTTTATGAGCAAAATTGACGGCGTATCTTAAGTTGTTTGCAAGTGATCGCGCTGTCGCTTCCATGCATGTGCTGCAAAGCGCTTTGTTTTCCACTCTCCGCACAAACAATTGGATCTAGCCTACGCCTAATAGCGCACATTTATCTAGGTTAAACATTTAAACTAACATTGTGATATGCTTGAAGATTTTATTTTAGGCAAGTCGTGATGATTTGAGAAGGCAAAATTGATCAAACATAAGATCACTGTCCCGCTGGCCGCTTGAAAAAAAAAAAAAACTTGAACCCAACAAGCAAAAAATGTTCCAAACATATTTCTAAATGAACTTTATAAAGAAATATAACCACTTTGCTATTAAAAACAAAACGGAGCTATTTTAATGGCTGCATCAGCAGCTGTGTACTAGGGAAGAGAGAGAGAGAGAGAAAAGACACGGGTTCCAGTCAGACTCAGGCCAGTAGTTCTGAGAAGCTGTTGGACAAAGGCCGAGCTATAGGTTGTTACGATTTTTTGCAACGAATGTTTGTTTAAAGGGGTCATATGATGCGTTTTCAATTTTTCCTTTCTCTTTGGAGTGTTACAAGCTCTTGGTGCATAAAGTGCCTCTGCTCACTCTAACTCTCCCGCCGTTCCTCATTTTATCCCCCGGCCTCGGCTCACTGTAGGCCGCCGTGTGTGACGCTGTTTCGTTGTGAAAGCAAAACACATTTCTCTGATCACAAATGCAGACATGGTTTTATGTTTACGCGGCATATTCTTATTTAGGCTACTTTCTTATTTAACTGTATTATTTATTTGATATTTAGCCTATTTTAGAGTTCTGTAGGCTGCATGTTCCCTGACGAAAATAAAAACGCATGTTAATAGATGTTTGAGCCTCATTTCAAATCTGATTGGACCATTAAAAAAAAGGATATCTGTAATTTCAAATATACACACTACTTAAATGGCTATGCTTTTATCTTTGAAGGAGGGTCTTTTATAGACATTCAACAAACTGTATTAAAGTGTATAAGTTTTGACAGTTAATATTTTAAATCTTAACCATGCTAAAACAGACTCTATTGCTCTCTCTCTTTCTTTCGTTTTCTTTCTTTGCAGGCATGCATGATTTTTAACTTCAACCTAGAGAAGATGGACAGTTATAGGCCCAATCATAATTTTATGTACACGTGCAAATTTGTACATACAATTTTGTCTACTCTTAAAAATAAAGGTGCTTCACGATGCCATAGAAGAACCTTTGGTCACACTTTATATTAGTTGGCCTTAACTACTAACATCAACAAATAAGTACATTGTACTTATTGTGGTCATATTGTATTGCAAAACACTTTTGCTGCTATTGAGGTGAGATGTGGGTAAGGTTAGGGACAGGTTTGGTGGTATGGGTAGGTTTAAGGGTGGGTTAAGGTGTAAGGGATGGGTCAACAGTGTAATTATAAATGTAATTACAGAAATTAATAACAGATGTAACTACATATAGGTATTTTTAAAAATATAAGTACAATGTAAAAACATGCATGTACACTAGAAGTGCATTGTATCAAATTATTTATTTAAATGTAAGTACAAAGTTAAGGCCACTTAATATAAAATGGGACCAAACCTTTTTTGTCTAAATGGTTCCATAAAGAACCATTTCACAAAAGGTTCTTTGCGGCGAAAGAAGGTATAAATTATAAAAAGGTAAGAAAGAGATGGTTCTTTAAAGAACCTTTGACTGAATGGTTCCTTGTGGAACCCAAAATTGTGGCATTGCTGTGAAGAACCTTTTAAGCACCTTTATTTATAAGAGTGTATATCTGCAATGGAATCTTACTCTCTCACCCAAAACAAATCCCGTGTGTTCAAAAATACTTGGCAATAAATATCTTTCGCATTCTGCCAAATAGTACTTTTTCTGATACCCTTCACACAAAAGGAGGAAGATCAAATATTGGTTCAAATAAATATGATTTTAAACAGGATGGAACAATGGTTCTATAAGAGGATTGCACTTTGCAGGGATTCATATATTCACAGGGCCCTATAGTAACAGGAGTGCCAGGGAGCCCTCCTACTAGATGAAGATCCTTGTTTAAGAGGCCTTAGGTTATATGGGACCCATATATTAAACATAAATAAACATTTGTTTTCATTGTTGTTGGCTTTTCTGTACCAAACTGGATGGCGCACCCTTGAGGCCCAGGGCCTTCTTAATGTATTCACTAATAATCTTCATCTATTAGCAAAACTCTCATTAATGCTCATTAATTAAGAGCATTAATTTTCAGTTGAAAATAACGACTGAGCCACTTTTTTTTTTAACAACTTCAGTGCACCATCATTATTAAATCCTACAGCAGATACCAACCAGCATATTCTTTGAAGTTTCCTTTTTGTGTTACACAGGGGAAAAGTCAGATGTTTGGAACATCATGAAGGTGAGTAAATGATGAAGTATTATTCATTTTTGAGTGAACTAAATCAAATTGACATTCAAACAAACAAACATACACAATTTATTACAAAATATCTGCAAGAAATTGAATCAGTACAAATGCTGACTTATCACAGATCTTTTATTTGTCAAAAAAAGAAAAAAAAAGTTGGAGAGTTAAAAAAAACAGACTGAAGGATAGAGGAAGAGTCTGGTATATCTGCTGCAGGTAAGTCACATTACATTATACAGAGATGATCGCATCAGCCAGGCTTTTTACAGCGGTAGTTTGACATCTTTTCCCACAAATTCTTAAGAGATTAAATTTCCTTAGAATGCATCTAGATTTGCATGTTTGGTGTTGGGCCATCAGTAACAGTTCAGCAAAAAAATTAGTTAAATGTGGATAGACCATAGCACCCAAGCATTTTTAAAAGGAAAAATAGAGAATCAAAAGTAGGAGGAAATTTCAAGTGAAACGAAGGGAGCTGGTTCTACAGCAACCAGCTGCTGAGGGGTGGCTAGTACCATCTATAATGTTCCTCAAGACACATCTGAAAATGAGAGACAATAATCAGAATTTGGACAAACAAGAAAAATGAATGTGAAAAAAAAAAAAATGAATATATGACAAAATGTTAATGGATTGCTAATAGAGGAATTTAATATACTTACAGCTTGCAGGCCTGGCGCCATATCTTCGCATAATCTGATCCTGTGTGAATTTCACAAAGGACTCATATTGTTCTTGAAGTAAAAAGAAAGAAAAACAGCACATTAAGAACACAATTCAGTCAATTCAGCTACTACATTACTGTGTGGAATCTGCAATGTGTTGTACCTGCAAGCTTTGTGTTCAGTATCTGTTCATACTCTTCGCGCATCTTCTCCTCGTGATCTTTAATAAGGCGCTCACACAAATAGCCAACCTGCCTCAGCGTGAACAGTGGCTGATCCTTCTTCAATGATGAGGCACCTAAAAACATACACACGAATCGGAATATCCATCCTTGACCATGTCACTTTATTTTCAAAATTACAAAATACCTACACTACAGTTCAAATGATTTTTTATGTTTTTTAAAGAACTCTTATGCTCACCAAGGTTATATTATTACAATTGAAAATAACTCTTTTTTTAATATTTTTTATAAATGTAATTTATTCCTGTGATGGCAAAGCTGAATGTATAGAAATCACTCTAATATCCTGATTTGGTGCTCAAGTAACATTTCTTCCGATCAACAGTTTTTCTATGCAATATTTTAGTGGAAGCCATGATAATTGTTGTTAAATCTTTTGTAACATTATAAATGATAAAAAGTGACAGCAAAGACAAATTTGATGCATCCTTGCTGAATCAAGGTATTAATGTTAAAAAAAAAAAAAAAAAACTGTCACAGTTATAATTAATTAATTAAATAATTAAATTAAATAATAATTAAATAATAATCATCACCATTCGACTTTACTGACAACAAATTTGGCACACTATCTTCACACTCCACATTATACCTTCCTGTAAAGTGCAGCTACAACCCTAATCAAAAGCATCTGATCCAGCTAATTAAAACATTCAGGAACATTTAGTAACTACAGCTGGTGTGTTGGAACAGGGTTGGAACTGGATGGCAGAAGATTTCCAGGAACAAAACTAGCCACCCCTGGTCTAAAGAAAATGATTGATAAATGGTTTGAGCACCCCAACTAAGCACATTTCAGGTCATCGGCTCCTTTGTTTCATGAGTGTGCCCAGACAAAAGAGAGTAGAGACATTCAAAATGTGCAGTGTTGGGGCAGGAGGGCTTCAGGAACAAGTCTGAAACCACTGGACATTATGTTTTGAGTGGACTGACCTGTGGGAGAGCTGGGGGAGGTGAGGGCTGGACTGGAGCTCTGGATATCAGTGGAGCTGCAGGGCTCAGTCTGGTTAAAGGCCCCTTCCAACTGCCGTCGCCTCTGATAACGGTTGTACTCCTGACGAATGTTCTGGAAGATCTGCTCTGTGAGGGTCAAAGAAAGACAATCGAGAGTTAATAACAATGATAATTGAGCTTAAATTAATGAGAGAAAAAAACTGATTTCCCCCAAGTATTTCTGGAATACCATCATTTCCAAGGAATATACTTCCTTGTGTTCAAATCATCTTCAAAAACAAAGTAGTAAAGAACAACAGTAATCACTGGCATTACATCAAGCACACACAATGCACAGAGGATATCCTGCTTTCAGCACAGATCCCATTACGAAAAGAAAGAGGGAAGAAATACGTTTCACTTCAGTTTTACAATCAGCTACAATGGTACATTGACAACGTCACTAGCAAACACATACAAGAGAGAAAAATGGGATGGCTTTAAGGTGGGTCAGGCTTATTTCTGGAAACCAAATCTGGGTGACAGGACTGCAATGCGGAGGGGAGCAATGCAACCGGGAACATCCGGAGTCTCTTTCTAGAAAAACTGGGTTGAGTTTGGTCTTAACCTTCAACCAGTGGACGACTCAGAATTATAAACCAGCATGACTTTCATGAGCTATACTCTATAAAATGATCTTCTCTAGTCGTCTTAATTGATCACAAAGGAGAGTATTATTTGGAGGGCGAGTATCTGAACTTCCTGAATGTAGGTCATTTAAAGCTTTAAGGGTGGACATCTGAGAATGTTTGCATCACTCATCTTGGGTGGGGTGCTCAGAGTTTCCCCTTCTATTAGCATCGGCCTTCAACTAAAAGACGGAAAAAGGGGAAAACTCAAGGGGTGCCAGCTTCTCTAGCTTGATGCTAATGCATTCCAGCAAAGCAGGCAGTGTGGCTACAACCTAACAAAGTGCCTCACTGCAGAAGAGACTTCTTGTGTTTACAATGTAGCTCTCATCTGATTGGTTTTTATTGGTTTAAACACAGGAAGGCTTAGAGTTCCCAATAAAGAGGTGTTATGGGGGCTCAAGCGCAACTTTACACTAGCGTTCACTCTAGAAAGGAGTATATTAGAAGCAAAAGACTCACTAATGAAGTGTAGATAATCTCTTATTGAGGGTTCTTCCTCACAATAGAGGTACTTGTTGACAACAGCACTACTAATGTACATTGTACGGTTTTGGTCCAAAAAAAAAAAAAAAGCCAAATTAAATAGGACAAGTTCACCCAAAAATTTAAATTCTGTCATCAGGTACTTGTCCTCATGTCCTTCTAAACCTGTATGACTCCCTTCTGTGAAACACAAGAGATAATTAGAGCCCGACCGATATGGGTTTTTTGGGGCCGATACCGATACCGATATTAGGGAGTAAAAAAAAAAAAAGGCCGATACCGATATATCGCCCGATATTCTTTGTGTATATTATAGTACAGTACCAGTCAAAAGTTTGGACACTTTCCCATTCATGTGTCCAAACATTTGACTGGTACTATATATAGAATACAGTATATACATAAACAATATATACATAAACACATTTTTTGCAATGATCACTCAAATGTGGTGATCAAACACTTATAATGGTGACAGATATGTAAGGGCATTTAACAATTTAACAATAAACTTGCGATAAGTGCGATGCACAAAGTAACGGGGTGTTAGTTGTAACACGTGGTCTGAATATTTATTTTACCATAGTAACATTTAAATTCTGGTTTAAGTACATTTTTTATCTGTTTTTATTATTCATTTAAAATGAGACAAATCTGCTATTATTTTAATCTCCAATCTGTTATTTATCAGTTCAGATAGTTTTTTAATGTTTTGATTACTAGCAGAAGACACTAACCAGTTTTAAATTCCAGTTGCGCAGATGGGGCACGTTGTAACACTGCGTTACAATGTGCTATTCTATGACATTAGCGATGTAATTTACAC